GTAGCTACCTCAATCGTTATTTCAAATAATTTCTCAATTTAGCTAGCTAGCAGGCTCAGCTAAATACAAATCCCCTTAGACATGACTGTAAGTCGCTTTGGATAAAAGCGTCTGCTAAATGGCATATTATATTATATTATTATATAAAGCCATGTCTCATAGTCACGTCATGAGAGTTTCCCCATCTTCCCATTTAGAGTTCCTGGCGCTGCACAGAAATGCCCTTATCCAGATGGTGTGACAAATGCATTTCCTAACAGACCTGCTAACTCTCTTTGTTGTTACTTTTAAAGGTTGGAACCAACATGCTGTAACCTCCAGCAGACAGAGAGGTGAAGAACCATTCGTCCTCCAGCAGGCAGAGAGGTGAAGAACCATTCGTCCTCCTGCTCAGGGACAAGCTGCACTATTCACAGCCCTGTGTAGTGTTCAATGTAATTGCATTGCTGGACTTTTTTGAAAACTTCATGTATTTTGTATTGTTTTAAAAATGTACAAATAAAAGGAAATGTATGGTTTAAACATGTATTTTAATGTTCATTTGTTTTAGCTCTTAGTGATAATTCCCTAAGTGTTAATATCATTAAGCCTTTATGTATGTATTCATGCAGTAAGTACAGCGTCATATGATACAAGCCATTCATGTATATGTTATGAATTACAATTTAAATTGTTTTAGTTTAAATAATTTAGCAGACGCTATTATCCAGAGTGACTTACAGTGAGTGCATACATTTTTCATACTTTTTTTCATAATGGTCCCCCTGTGGGAATCGAACCCACAACCCTGGCGTTGCACACTCCATGCTCTACCAACTGAGCTACACGGGACACCGTGTGTTATAAATGACCAGAGGGGTCTGACTAAATTAAGTACAGCATGATGCGATATAGTCTTTATGGATGTGTTATGAATGACCGAAGGTGTCTCACTTCAAACTAAGTGTTACAGGACACTACATGAAGTGTCACTAATCAGGTTATTAACGTTCTGCTGATTTATGACGGTTCTCTCGTGATCCACAGGTTACTGTAGGGTGAGAGACGTATTTAAATGGACTGATGGACCTGAAAAGCTTGTTTGTGTGTGTCAGAACTAAGATGATTTGGAGGAGTCCATCCTGAGACTATCTCACCAGGTATTCCTCTTCTGTTCCCATGCTGGAGACCAGGGCTTGATTACAACCTGTCACAATGGTGCCAACATTTTGTGGTTGATCTTTCAGAGGGGGAGTGGGTGAATGTGTTAAAGACCTGACTGGGCCCAGCACCGCTCGGGTATGGCTTGTTATATTGTTGTGTTAAAGACCTGACTGGGCCCAGCACCGCTCGGGTATGGCTCGTTATATTGTTCTGTTAAAGACCTGACTGGGCCCAGCACCGCTCGGGTATGGCTTGTTATATTGTTCTGTTAAAGACCTGACTGGGCCCAGCACCGCTCGGGTATAGCTGGTTATATTGTTGTGTTAAAGACCTGACTGGGCCCAGCACCGCTCGGGTATGGCTCGTTATATTGTTGTGTTAAAGACCTGACTGGGCCCGGCACCGCTCGGGTATGGCTGGTTATATTGTTGTGTTAAAGACCTGACTGGGCCCGGCACCGCTCGGGTATGGCTGGTTATATTGTTGTGTTAAAGACCTAACTGGGCCCAGCACCGCTCGGGTATGGCTGGTTATATTGTTGTGTTAAAGACCTGACTGGGCCCGGCACCGCTCGGGTATGGCTGGTTATATTGTTGTGTTAAAGACCTAACTGGGCCCAGCACCGCTCGGGTATGGCTGGTTATATTGTTGTGTTAAAGACCTGACTGGGCCCAGCACCGCTCGGGTATGGCTGGTTATATTGTTGTGTTAAAGACCTGACTGGGCCCAGCACCGCTCGGGTATGGCTCGTTATTGTTGTTGTGTGCATGTTTGTGTTCTGAGGAACATGTAACTTGGTTCCAGAAGAAAGACAATTTCAATTTCTCAAGGTAAGTGTTTCTTGGTGTAACGTCGTCACCAGGCTATTGCAAACACAGCACATATAAGCCTGTGATATCAACCATTCAAAGATCGTCTTAGAGGGAGTGACCCATATAATTCTACAGGAGTGACCTTACTGAGTAAAGTATGTGTCATCGTCACTACTTAACACAGTCAAAAAGTCATCATTATTTCTAAACTCTGCCCATTACCACAATTTATCTTCTTAAAATGTGATTTTAAACCTAACCCTAACTAATGAAGGCCAAGTTTGATGCGTCGGTCCACCAGACCTCCCGCGCATTTGGACGGAAGTGTCTGGGAACGAGATTAGGTGTAACGTGACTAGCATGACTTCACTTCAGAGCGTGTGCCATTCTTCAGCACAAAATGTCACCCTTTTATAAAGCACGTTTATATCCTATTTGACATAGTGGGTTACGTCACACAGTTATGCCACATTTATGAACCCTTTATAAAGCATGACACATGGTTATAGATGCTTTGTAACACATTTATGTAGTGCTTTATGAAGCCTTTATAAGCTGCACGTCGTTTAAAGTGGGACCGAATAATACAAGTCATTCAGATAACTATAAGGCTAATTTGGGGAATAATGTCTGTCAAGTAATGTGTGAGATCAGAGCTTTGATGAAGTGATACTCTGTACCTTCAGCCTTCTGGAGGCGTTTAACTTCTGACTGAAGGCTGGCAACCGTGTAACACAACCACATTACAGTAATGGAATGAGGTGATGTAATAGACAGTAGATGAAGAAGCTGGCATCAACCGACAACCTTTAACCTCTGGGTGCAGCGGAGGGTAACCTGAATCATTTAAAAACTAGGTATATCCTTCATTCATCAGTCTTCACAATGGTTCTCAAGATGACCTGCTTCATTCACAGATTCCCTTCTGTGGTGTAACGAGTGTGCTAGAAACCTTAGGCCAACTTTTGATGAGTTATTTAAAGGCCCACTCTGTGATTTGATAATAATATAATCCCTGCAATGACTCGGATCAAGTCATGACTCTTTCATGGTGTGAAATGAGACGTGTAGCAGGAAATACCACAAACCGCTCAGAAGACATAAATCAACTCAGAGTTCAATATTGTTCCTTGGAGGGTGAAGCAACGTTTTGTTCCTTGGAGGATAAAGCAACGTTTTGTTGCGTCTGAGGTGGGGCTTGTTAGCTTAAGTTGCTGACTTATAAATCTATATTTGAGTAATAAGACCTGTTAATGTACTTATAAATCTATATGTTTTAAGCAATAAGACCTGTTAATGTACTTATAAATCTATATGTTTTAAGCAATAAGACCTGTTAATGTACTTATAAATCTATATGTTTTAAGCAATAAGACCTGTTAATGTACTTATAAATCTATATGTTTTAAGCAATGAGATCTGTTAATGTATTATAAATCTATATGTTTTAAGCAATAAGATTTGGCATTGTAGTAATAAACCTATACGATATGTTTTAGGCAATAACACCTGTTATTGTACTTGTTATTGTACGGGCGGCAGGTAGCCTAGCGAAAGGTTTCTGGTTCGAATCCCCGAGCTGACTAGGTGAAAAATCTGTCGATGTGCCTTTGAGCAAGGCACTTAACCCTAGTCGCTCTGAATAAGAGCGTCTGATAAACGACTAAGATTTACATTTTTATTTTGTAATTTATAAATCTACATGTTTTAAGCATAAATATGAGTTATTGTACTTATAAATCTAATCAAATCAAATAAGCAATAAGACCGCTTGTTTGACTCATCCTTCAATAGATATGAGGCACAATCAAATTGGATTAATCTATTTATGCCTAATTTAGTGTTATATTAATAGTTATATAACCTGAATGTTGGTGAAATGTCTAGACTTGACAGTTCATGCAGTTTTAGTATTCTGATCACAGAGTTCGGATCATAGAGTTCTGATCACAGAGTTCTGATCACAGAGTTCTGATCACAGAGTTCTGATCACGGAATTCTGAACGCGTCATGCGTCTACACCTACATGTAAATGTGTCTACCGTGTCCACAGTGTGTCCGGATTCCCTTTTCCCGCGCTATATTCAGATGCCAGTATGCATTCTACAAACGGTGGAATAGGCTAAATCTGATAACAACACCACAACTAATGGCAGTAGCTAACTACTGTTGCTAACTAGCCAGCTAACCTCTGTAGCTAGCCAGCAAGCAACGTTAAAGGGATTGCAAACAGGTTAGCATAACTCTAGCCAAACAGAAAATAGTTTTTCTAAATATGAGCTAGCTGGCTAGCATTTATGAGGCCAGCAAACACGTTCCTCACACGCTAGTAACGTATTTCCTCCAACGGTATAATGAGAAGGTGCCTCTCGCTCCCAAAACACACGTTTTCTGGAGACTTGCGGGAGGATTGCTGATGAACGACGCCCGCTGTATGCCCTTTTGGTAGCCTGATTTGCATCCAGACTGAGGAGAAATCTGCACACAATCCCTGACCACCTCCTGAAGTGGTCAGACAGATCCGAACACAATCAGACCACAAAGTGACTTTTGTGCGTCTAGACCCGTCTTTTCAATGCGATCTTTATATTCTGATAGCAGAAGTCGCATGTAAGTGTCAAGTGTAGACCACAGTTCTCTGATGAATCAGCTATGAGATAGGTTCATAAGATGTTGCGAAAACGAACATCACAAAACAAGACTTCAAAAGACTGTAAACTCACATCTGATCTGTAAAAGACTGTACACTCCAACTGATCTGTAAAAGACTGCAAACTCCAAATGATCTGTAAAAGACTGTACACTCCAACTGATCTGTAAAAGACTGTACACTCCAACTGATCTGTAAAAGACTGTACACTCCAAATGATCTGTAAAAGACTGCAAACTCCAAATGATCTGTAAAAGACTGTACACTCCAACTGATCTGTAAAAGACTGTACACTCCAACTGATCTGTAAAAGACTGTACACTCCAAATGATCTGTAAAAGACTAAACTCCAACTGATCTGTTAAAGCATCCAAATGAGGCCACTTATACTCACCAATGAAAGAAATGGCCTCTGGGAAAAACTGTGAGAGATTTTGGCTCCAGTGATCGGAGATGGGGATCTGTTTGTACTTGAAGTCTCCGTCATGTTCAAACATGTTGGGCAGGTTGGGTGTGACGTTGAGGATGTACTTGATGTTGTACTTCCCCAGGACGTCCAGGTTGGCTGAGTCTTTGGCACATCCCAGGTAAAGGTAGGGTAAGATCTGGACCGGGAAGGCAGGCTGGTTGTTGGGGAGAGGGCTGCCCTCGGAGTCGGTGGCGCTGCCCGGTTCCCTGTCCGATGACTCCCCATCAGAACAGTCCGAGCTGATCCTCAGCCCACCCAGACCCAGGACGGAGGCAGGCGGGGAGCTGCTGGGGCAGGAACAGTCCAGGTTGGTCTCACAGTGCTCAGGGTACTCCGTCTGGAACTTGTTGAAGCCACCTGGAAACAACAACAGAGACTAATTAGAATATAATAGAATATATTAGGGTAAAATATAATACAACTATTGTCCTGGAAATTACAACAATACAGAGATGGATCAGAATCCCAATATAAGAATAGAATAGAATAGAATAGAGTAGAATAGAGTAGAGTAGAATAGAGTAGAATATAGTAGAGTAGAATAGACTAGACTAGAATATAGTAGAGTACAATATAGTAGAATAGATTAGAGTAGAATAGAGTAGAATAGAGTAGCATAGAAAATAGTAGAATAGAGCAGAATAGAGTAGAGTTGAATATAGTAGGATAGAATAGAGTAGAATAAAGTAGAATAGTGTAGAATACAATAGAGTAGAACAGAGTAGAGTAGAATAAAGTAGAATAGAATGGGGTAGAATATAATATAGTAGAATTGAGTAGTAGAATAGAATATAGTAAAATAGAGTAGAGTAGAGTAGAATATAGTAGAGTAAAAAAAGAATATAATAGAATAGAGTAGAATTGAAAATAGTAGAATAGAATAGAGTAGAGTAGAATAGAGCAGAGTAGAGTATAATACAATATAGTAGAATAGAGTAGAATATAATATAATAAAATACAATAAAATAGAGTAGAATATAGTAGAATACAATAAAATAGAGTAGAATAGAGTAGAATACAATAAAATAGAGTAGAATAGAGTAGAGTATAATACAATAGAGTAGAATAGAGTAGAATAGAAAACAGTAGAAACAAATAGAACCCCTGGAAACACAGCAATACAGAGATGGGTCAGAATTACAATATGAGAATGATTGTGCGGCATGTTGTCATTTCACCTATTCAAAAAAAGTACAATACAGAGAAATGAAATTGTGAGCATTAGAATATAACTTTATTGTCCAATGTGAATTGGAAAGTCATCTCTGTGTGATGAAAGGTTGTGTAAACTTTTCATTTAATCTACTCAATTAGTACTGAGATTTATGAAAATACTGTACACAAAAAGGTTGTGTGTGTGTGTGTACACAGCATGTACATATTCAAAGTGGTGAAATAAAAAAGTACATTGTGCCAACGCAAACAACCAGATACTATGTATATGTGTCAGACAGGAAAAGGATATGGACCTACTTCCTACACGATGGTAAAATAAATGTATACTGATATATTATCACATTACATCCTATAACACAATAATAAACCCATTTCATACACTGATGTTTTTGGTAATGTGATTACTGTATATCCCATGTTTCCAGTCCTTCAATAAAATGCTGGAGAAAAAATGTTTTGCCCGTGCTACAGACAGCTGCAAGGTCTGCTAATATAGGATTAGCAAAGGCCCAGTGCACTACCTTTGGTGATTTTATTTATTTATATACAAATAAAAAATACAAACAATTTATTCTTATTTTTCAGGGGGTGCGGCAGAACCCTCAGAACCCTCAGAACCCTCATCAGAACCCTCAGAACCCTCATCAGAACCCTCATCAGAACCCTCAGAACCCCTACTTCCTGCGGCTATGTGTACAGTATCCTACCACTGATCTGATCTAAGGGGACATCTAAGTGACAGGGCCATAGAGTGTCATGTGTGGACTTTTTGTGAATGACAGGTGACAGTGAGCCTCAGACATGTAGGCCTATGGAATACTTCCCTCAACTATTACCATTTTCATAATGACAAGATAAGACAACAGTGGTCTATGGTCAGGATTGTAATGATTCTGTAATGTTGTGAACAGGTTGTAGGTCATATCTCTATAGCCTAGTGTAACAAGGTTGGTTATGTTTCCACTTGCCACTGCAGAAATATGTATTCGATGTTTATGTATTCCTATTGGTTGGTTGAATTTACATATCAATAAGGTGTTACGCCATTGGTTATGTTTGCAGATAGGGGGGAGATCGTGAACGTCAGTTCTTCTCAGTCTGATATTTCTATGCAAGTGGTAGGTCACGTTCTATTGTCATGTTTACAACGTGTACGAGTTCACTGTGTACATGTCCTGATGTGTATATATGTGTACAGTACCTGTTAGATATTGGCAGAATCCTGGGACGTGCTTTTGTATGCTATTGCTGTAAGAGTGAGTTAGCTAGCATGCTCTAATTGTAATGGTCACATTAGCTCCCTGCTAATTCAGTTATTTCTATACTAACAGACGAAAACATGAATCTACAGCCATCAACATACTGTTGTCCTGCACATCTAATGTGCTTCCTTCCTCGTGTCTATCGTCAGGTACATAGATTTGTTGTATTTTGTACTATCTTTGTCATTATGATGTTTGATTACAAAATACTTAGTCTGATATTGACATGCAAGCGACAAATCTCTGGCTGGACAGTCCTTTCTTTAAAAACACAACGCAAGAGAGTTACGAAGTACGAGCACATCTGTTACACTAGCAGCTAGTCTCAGAAGCACGGTGTAGAAGTGGTTCCTGAATATCAGACAGTGAACCTGAAACATGTTTGGAATATTTTCCTCAACTACTATTATTTCCCTACACACATGAGATAAGACATGAATGGGCCTATAGTCAGGATGGAAATAGATCTATAGTCAGGATGGTAATAGATCTATAGTCAGGATGGTAATAGATCTATAGTCAGGATGGTAATAGATCTATAGTCAGGATGGTAATAGATCTGTGGTCAGGATGGTACTAGATCTATAGTCAGGATGGTAATAGATCTATAGTCAGGATGGTAATAGATCTATAGTCAGGATGGTAATAGATCTGTGGTCAGGATGGTACTAGATCTGTGGTCAGGATGGTAATAGATCTGTGGTCAGGATGGTAATAGATCTATAGTCAGGATGGTAATAGATCTATAGTCAGGATGGTAATAGATCTATAGTCAGGATGGTAATAGATCTATAGTCAGGATGGTAATAGATCTATAGTCAGGATGGTAATAGATCTGTGGTCAGGATGGTACTAGATCTATAGTCAGGATGGTAATAGATCTATAGTCAGGATGGTAATAGATCTATAGTCAGGATGGTAATAGATCTGTGGTCAGGATGGTACTAGATCTGTGGTCAGGATGGTAATAGATCTGTGGTCAGGATGGTAATAGATCTATAGTCAGGATGGTAATAGATCTATAGTCAGGATGGTAATAGATCTATAGTCAGGATGGTAATAGATCTGTGGTCAGGATGGTACTAGATCTGTGGTCAGGATGGTACTAGATCTGTGGTCAGGATGGTAATAGATCTGTGGTCAGGATGGTAATAGATCTATAGTCAGGATGGTAATAGATCTATAGTCAGGATGGTAATAGATCTATAGTCAGGATGGTAATAGATCTATAGTCAGGATGGTAATAGATCTGTGGTCAGGATGGTACTAGATCTGTGGTCAGGATGGTAATAGATCTATAGTCAGGATGGTACTAGATCTATAGTCAGGATGGTACTAGATCTATAGTCAGGATGGTAATAGATCTATAGTCAGGATGGTAATAGATCTATAGTCAGGATGGTAATAGATCTATAGTCAGGATGGTAATAGATCTATAGTCAGGATGGTAATAGATCTGTGGTCAGGATGGTACTAGATCTATAGTCAGGATGGTAATAGATCTGTGGTCAGGATGGTAATAGATCTATAGTCAGGATGGTAATAGATCTATAGTCAGGATGGTAATAGATCTATAGTCAGGATGGTAATAGATCTGTGGTCAGGATGGTACTAGATCTGTGGTCAGGATGGTACTAGATCTATAGTCAGGATGGTAATAGATCTATAGTCAGGATGGTAATAGATCTGTGGTCAGGATGGTACTAGATCTATAGTCAGGATGGTAATAGATCTGTGGTCAGGATGGTAATAGATCTGTGGTCAGGATGGTACTAGATCTATAGTCAGGATGGTACTAGATCTATAGTCAGGATGGTAATAGATCTATAGTCAGGATGGTAATAGATCTGTGGTCAGGATGGTAATAGATCTGTGGTCAGGATGGACAGCCTCTATAGTATACTCTCAGCAGTTCAATGTACAGTAGGCTACAAGTGTTTTATTGTTCATTCATGAAAGTACACATTAATAATATAATTATAATTATAATTATACATTACATGAGACAGTAATGAATAGTGGAAGGTCTTTAGCACGGGTCTGATTCTGCTGTCATAAATAGGTTGTATTATCTCACTCTACAGTCTAGTCTCAGCAACACACAGCATAGAAGTAGTTCCTGAATGACGGTGAGCCCGAAACATGTTTAGGAATAGTTCACTCAACTATTATTATTTTCCTACACACATAAAATAAGACACGAATGGGCCTATGGCGAGAATGGTGTTGATTGTGTGGTATAAAGGAAAGGTTTGTATATAGCCTAGACTAGTGTCAGACAGCACACAGTGAAGAAATAGTTCCTGTTCTGTTCATTCATGAAATGCACGTCTTTTCCTGAAGAAGCACTTGACAACATGGCGGAGCCATGTTAGAGCATTAATTGAAAACATCTTTGCCTCGTTCAACATTCTTTCAAAGTTAAAACTCAAATAATTAATATAACATATTTTACTCTAATAGATTAACAATCGAAAACGGGGTTGAAACTTGGTGATTCTTACTACTGTCACGGTGTGGGAAATAAGCGACTATTTGACAATAGAATAAGTTATTTTCAACACTGCTTATTTTATAAAGGCAGTCGTGAAGCGGAAGGGGAATAAAAATCGAGAGAAATATTATTGGTTTTATTAATTTGAATCACTTGAGGAAAATATAGACCTTTATTTCTTTATTTTACACATTATTATATAGGAACCGTGGCTGCCTTCCGTTGACTTTTCATTTAGACAAAAATTATTTTACAACTTTAATATGATACAGAACACAATCAAATAGGCACTCCATAGTCGATAATACCATTGTGGTGAGAGGGAAACGAATGGATCCATACCGCTGCCTTGACTTAGCTACAATGTAACTTTGCGCTATAGTCCATTTGTAACTGTTTCATTAGACAAGTGGTCTACCTAGTCTCTGAACTCGGACATGTAGGAATAAAATAGAAATTGTGCTATAGTCCAAATGTTTTTGCTGTTGTATTAGACAAGTAGCCTAGTCTCTAGACGTAAAAAAAAAAAAAAAGGTACCAGGAACATAAAATAATAGAATCGAAGAAGTTCATTCTCACCTTCCAGGTAGAAAGCCTTACAACCTTCATCTCGGAGTTTTTGCAGAAGCAAGCCGAGAACAGAGCTCGCCACCCCGGTCTCCTGCCAGTCCGTAGTGGCCTCGTCGTAGAGAAGAACCATGTCCGTCTTGCACCGCTTCACGAATTTCTCCTTATCCTCGTTGTTGGGGATGATGGACCGGATCGGTAGATTCCCCTTCTTAAGTCTCCGCAGCATCAAACCGGGTATCGCCAGGTTGATGGCCGACTCGATGTGCGACGATTCGTAGAGCTCGTGCGATCGGCAGTCCAACAGTAGTAGCGAGCTCACCCCGAGCCCGGACTCCAGTTCTTCTTGAAGCCATTCCACACTTTTACTCGACATAATCTCTGTCACGTCCCGGGAACCGTTCCAAAGATGAATTTTCATTAGGGAAATGTGGAGGTGGCTCTTTGCAGTAACATGAGGGGGGAGATAAAAAATCACGGCGCTAAACTTCTACTGCTGTGGATAGGGACAGAACCGAATCCGCTCTGATCACTTTCGTCCACCGATACAGCAGCACCTCTGCTCGCCAAGGCTGGTTGACCGAGTGAACACACCACCAGGCTTGAACACATTAAGGATATTTTTCTTTCAGTCCGTAGGCTAGAAATTATGCTGGGTTCATTCAGATGCGGTCGACGTCCATTTGATACTGCGGTCTTATAGCTGCCCTTTACTGAAAATGACCTATATCGCGTTATTATATAAATCTGATGAAAATGTGGATTCCGGTTGGATCGTAGCTATAGCACATTATTTTAACGTTTGCCATTCGACCGCCTCCCGTGTGTCATTTCCAGTAACCGCTGTGACAAGCAGGCAGAACTAAAAGGGGTTTGCAGACAGTAGGCATGTCACTGTAGGAGGAGCTGGGGCAACAGTTAAAGACGCAGCATACAGCATTGGAGAGGAGAGGCTGTTGCTTTCAGACATCATGTCCCTCTCTCTCACCAACTTGGACAGCAACAAATGTCCTAAAATATTACACTGATGATTCATTCAACCCTGTCGGATTCTTAGGGGTCATTCAACCCTGTCTGATTAATAAGGGGGGGGGGGGGGGACCGGGACCGGGACCGGGACCGGGACCGGGACCGGAGAAGAAGCACCGTCTATTGGGACCTCCAAATGCATAGATTGCGTAATCGCGTTTAGACACCTTTTTGGGCAACCTCTGGCACACAGGCCATATCCCATTTATCATCCACAATGGAATAGGAGGATAGCCATTGGACCATAACAATACAAATAGTCCGAACCATACCCATTCTCAACGTCCACATAGATGCTTTTCAATATAGAGATATTAGAAACTAAGGACAGTGCGTAATGCTCTATCGGTGGATACAGAAGAGTCAGATGCAGCCGGTTCCTCTTTAACATATCTGCCCCCCTCTCTGTCTCACCCTCCCTCCCTCCATCCCTCCCTCCATCCTCTCTCTCTCACCCTCCCAACCTGAGAAGAACATTCATTATGAATGGACCGCCCCACGATTGAAAAAAAATATCTCATGGTTGATAAAACCCGATGATAAAATCTGACTGAAATTAACCTGTAGTTGACCACAAGCAAACGAATTGTCATCTGCGCCACATTAAGGGACTCTATTATATTCCCACTCTATTCTATTCCATTATATTCTATTCCGTTATATTCTATTTCATTCCATGGTATTCTATTCTAAATAGAATACCATAGAAGTTATATAATTGACAAGTACAGTCAGTGGTTTTACTGGCCTACTCCTTTGGACAGCTAAGTAGTATATTTGTACAGTTGGAACCTACATCCACTAATGGAGAGAGAAATTTAGCTTTACACACACACACACACACACACACACACACACACCACATCCAGACAGAGTGTCTGACTTGAGTCTTTTTCCATCCATTATTCATCTAAATCCAACCATACAATAAGTTAAATTGACAACGTACGTACAGTTGCTTTATTACGGCTACCCTTTGACGCTAACGTATATATTTGTTCACATATGGAAACCTACATCCACTAGGAAGTAATAATTAGCCTTCACACAACAACCACCCACACTAACCACACACACACCACATAGTTGACAGGTAACGTAAGTTGTAGCTAAGTTAAGCACCACTGACAGCAACCAATGGCTACAGTTACCCTCACCAATAAATTACAGACTACCCGGGACCTCCTGACTTTAGCTCTTGACTGTTCCATACCCTCTCCTCACAAACCCCCCTAACAATAAGTTACAGACTACCCACTAGCGCTAACGCTACAGCTACTGTTAGCCTCTCAACATAAGTTACAGACTACCCACTGAGCGCTAACGCTACAGCTACGTTAGCCTCTCAACAATAAGTTACAGACTAGCCCACTGAGCGCTAACGCTACTAGCTACTGTTAGCCTCTCAACAATAAGTTACAGACGAGCCCACTGAGCGCTAACGCTACTAGCTACAGTTAGCCTCTCAACAATAAGTTACAGACTAGCCCACTGAGCGCTAACGCTACTAGCTACTGTTAGCCTCTCAACAATAATTACAGACCTACCCACTGAGCGCTAACGCTACAAGCTACAGTTAGCCTCTCAACAATAAGTTACAGACCTACCCACTGAGCGCTAACGCTACTAGCTACAGTTAGCATCTCAACAATAAGTTACAGACTAGCCCACTAAGCGCTAACGCTACAAGCTACTGTTAGCCTCTCAACAATAAGTTACAGACCTACCCACTGAGCGCTAACGCTACTAGCTACAGTTAGCCTCTCAACAATAAATTACAGACTAGCCCACTGAGCGCTAACGCTACACGCTACTGTTAGCCTCTCAACAATAAGTTACAGACCTACCCACTGAGCGCTAACGCTACAAGCTACAGTTAGCCTCTCAACAATAAGTTACAGACTAGCCCACTAAGCGCTAACGCTACAAGCTACTGTTAGCCTCTCAACAGTAAGTTACAGACCTACCCACTGAGCGCTAACGCTACAAGCTACTGTTAGCCTCTCAACAATAAGTTACAGACTAGCCCACTAAGCGCTAACGCTACAAGCTACTGTTAGCCTCTCAACAATAAGTTACAGACGAGCCCACTGAGCGCTAACGCTACAAGCTACTGTTAGCCTCTCAACAATAAGTTACAGACTAGCCCACTGAGTGCTAATGCTTCTAATCTAGCTACTGTTAGCCTCTCAACAATAAGTTACAGACTAGCCCACTGAGCGCTAATGTTGAACCTGCTTGTTCTGTCACTGTAACCTCATACAACCATCCATTCACAGATATATACAACCATGAACGTACAGTATTAACTATTCCAAATAAAAACTACATTTAGCAGACATAGATACTGTACAACCATGAATATATGAACTACTAATTCCAATTTAAAACTTTCTTTCACAGACACAACCATGTGTATGTAACCGGTGTGAAATGGCTAGTAGGGGCGAGGAGAGGGACGGAAGCAACACTGTTATCCCGAGTGGCGCAGTGGTCTAAGGCACTGCCCCCTCCCCTGGACGACGCTGTGCCACTAGAGATCCTGGTTCGAATCCAGGCTCTGTCGTAGCCGGCCGAGACCGGGAGAATATATGAACTACTAATTCCAATTTAAAACTTTCTTTCACAGACACAACCATGTGTATGTAACCGGTGTGAAATGGCTAGTAGGGGCGAGGAGAGGGACGGAAGCAACACTGTTACATTGATGCTGTTGACCACGATCACTGGTTGCTGCGGAAAAGGAGGAGGTCAAAAGGCTCCCGAGTGGCGCAGTGGTCTAAGGCACTGCATCGCAGTGCTAGCTGTGCCACTAGAGATCCGGTAACGGTGCTTCGAGGGTGACTGTTGTCGATGTGTGCAGAGGGTCCCTGGTTTGAGCCCAGGTAGGGGCGAGGAGAGGGACGGAAGCAACACTGTTATCCCGAGTGGCGCAGTGGTCTAAGGCACTGCCCCCTCCCCTGGACGACGCTGTGCCACTAGAGATCCTGGTTCGAATCCAGGCTCTGTCGTAGCCGGCCGCGACCGGGAGACCCATGGGGCGGCGCACAATTGGCCCAGCGTCGTCCAGGGTAGGGGAGGGAATGGCCGGCAGGGATGTAGCTCAGTTGATAGAGCATGGCGTTTGCAACGCCAGGGTTGTGGGTTCGATTCCCACAGGGGGTATGAAAAAAAAATAATGTATGCACTAACTAACTGTAAGTCGCTCTGGATAAGAGCGTCTGCTAAATGACGTAAATGTAAAGTATACTACAACTGAAAACTATCTTTCACAGACACATCCATGAATATGACCTACTGTACTAATTTAAGAGACACAGATACAACAAGCCCCTATAGTCCATTAGGCAGGCTGTCTCTCATGGTAATGTAATCTGTGGAGGTGAGAGATTGAGAGCTAAATGCACACCGCTGGGATGAAGTGCTGTTTCGTAATTCAGCCAATGACATCAAGTGCTGACGGTAGTTTTAACAGAGCAGCACACTCCAGTCCTGATCCTTCCCCCTCTTTAGTGTTCCAAATGGCACCCTAATTCCCTATATAGTGCACTAGGTAATAGCATGCCATTTGGGACGCATTTCCTCTGCTGGGAGTTAGACTGGCTAGCCCATAGAACACCAACATTCCCAACTCTTAAAGTACTGAACGGCTGTTGCATGGAAAACCTATTAATTTGAGTTCTCTCTCGCTCAGTCTGTCTGCCTGCCTGTCTGTCAGCCTGTCGGTCTGTCTGCCTGTCTGTCAGCCTGTCGGTCTGTCTGCCTGCCTCTCTGTCTGTCTGCCTGTCTGTCTGCCTGCCTGTCTGTCAGCCTGTCTGCCTGTCGGTCTGTATGACTGTCTCTCTCTCCACTTTCGTTCCCGATGTCTTTTAAAAAGAGAACAATCTTTTCATTCTTCATGATGATTGGCCATACATTCACACCATAGACTGTATATAAAAACGATTCAAATCAAATCAAACTTTATATGTGCCGAATACAACAGGTAGACATTTTACATTTTACATTTTATCCATTTAGCAGACGCTCTTATCCAGTGCGACTTACATTATATTTTTTTAACTGGTCCCCCGTGGGAATCGAACCCACAACCCTGGCGTTGCAAACGCCATGCTCTACCAACTGAGCTACATCCCTGCTGGCCATTCCCTCCCCTTAGACCACTGCGCCACTCGGGAGTACAGACCTCACGGTGAAATGCTTACTTACAAGCCCTTAACCAACAATGCAGTTCCAGAAAGAGTTAAGAAAATATTTACTAAATAAACAAAAGTAAAACCTGGGGGGGGGGGGGGTGTAAATGTAAATAGTCTGGGTGGCCATTTTATTAATTGTTCAGCAGTCTTATGGCTTGGAGGTAGAAGCTGTTAAGGAGCCTTGGCACTCCGGTAC